ACCCATACCCACACCTGTGCGTCTTTCATGAGTTAAAACACAGGGAAGGGCCTAAAAATATCCTTAGTGTTAATATCTAATTCTAAAGAGGCTCTGATGAATCACCTGTATGGATTATGAACAGCGTACTTTGAAAAACACCATCATGATGAAAGGCCTTCATACAGTCTCATGTAAACCTAAAAACATGTTTTGAAAGGAGATGATTTCAACATTTGAAGTAGTGGAAGTCTCTTTTTTTCTTTAAGCCTAGAACTTTCTTTGTGTAAGTATATAAAATTGTTTATAACTATTTATAATTTCATTTTGTTCCCAAATAAAACACAGTAGTTAAAGGATTCCATTTTGGATCCTTGCCTAGCTCTCCTCAAGCTGGTTCTAGGTCTCCACACTGGCTTATTGCAGAGGAGTGGTGACAAAGGAGATTGTTAACTTGATCTGGCCATGTGTATTCCTGTAACAGTTTTTCTTAGTGTCAAGTGTGAATCATATATAAAATGACAATGAATCCCATTATTATGTGTAATTATTGTCCACCAATAAAACATTTTTTTAAAAAAAAGAATGGATAAAACACGAAAATAAACAAAACACCCTCACCCTTTAAATTAAGAATCCTCTAATAGCACATTATTGGGGGTTGGTCACTCAGTTTTTGAATTGTCCTGACTCTAATCCCAGTGCCTTTTTTTTCTGGTGCTCTATTGTTTTTTTTGTTGTTGTTGTTGTTTTTGTTTTTGTTTTAATTTCTTTGTGCCTTTTCCAGAGGACCCCAGAGAGTGAGGAGCTGAAAACTCAACCCATCTGTGTTGCTGTTACTATTCAAAGTTGAAAAGATTTGTGGGTCTGTAGTTTGAGATTATTGGCCAAACTTAGAATTTCTTTATTTTTTTCATCATTGTTTGCTGTTTATTTTAGTGTCTTTGTCCATTTTCCTTCTTCCTGTGAACATGGCTCCTGGTGGTAAGAGCCAGTTTGCATTCATTCTTGGATTTGAATGCTCTGATTCAGTGGCTCTCAATGTGTTTTCTGCCACAACACAGATGGCTTTCACAGGCCTCACACACTCACAGGGCTGTATCCAGGGTTATGCAGAATTCTGAGCAAGCTCCTTATAATTCACCCATTACTTCCCCATTCAGGATAGTACAGTGGAGAGCACATCGCAAACAATGATTCTCTCACCTTGCAGTCAATTGGCTCTACTTTCTAAAAAAGCAATTTGTTACATAATTTAATAGTGACTCTTATCTTGCTTTAGTCATTTATGGATTTAATTGATGCTTAAAAATAATGTTTGAATGTGCCATTTTCCCCACATCCTACATTGCTGGTGGGACTGCAAATTGGTGCAGCCAATCTGGAAAGCAGTATGGAGATCCCTTGGAAAACTGGGAATGGAACCACCATTTGACCCAGCTATCCCACTCCTCGGTTTATATGCAAAGGACTTAAAAATAACATACTACAGGGACACAGCCATATCAATGTTTGTAGAAGCACAATTCACAATAGCCAAATTATGGAACCAACCTAGATGCCCTTCAGTAGATGAATGGATAGGGAAACTTTGGCATATATACATTAGCATTAAAAGAGAATAAAATCATGGCATTTGCAGGTAAATGGATGAAATTGGAGAATATAATGCTAAGTGAAGCAAGCCAATCCCCAAAAAACAAAAGCCAAATGTTTTCTTTGATATGAGGGTGCAGACACATAATAGCGATTGTGGGGGAGCATGGAAGGAACGGAGGAACTTTAGATAGGGCAGAGGGGAAAGGAGGAGGCAAGGGAGTAGGAATGATGGTGGAATGAGTTAGACATCATTACCCTAAGTACATATATAACAATGGTGTGAAAATACTTGAAAAATTGTGCTCTATATGTGTACTATGAAATGAATTACATTCTGCCATCATGTATAACAAATCAGAATTTAAAAAGTTAAAAAAATAATGTTTGAAATATTTAACAAAATAGGTAATAACATAAGGAACACCCTTGTACTCATTCCCCAATTTAAACATCTAACATCATAACATTTTGTCAATCACAGTATGATCCATCAACTCATCTTAAAGAAAATGAGGTTAATATGCCTTTATGTTTTCTCTTGTTTCTCCTTCAACTTCCCTTTATTTTCTCATTAGTTTGTACAGCCCAGATGGTTAGTTTCTATAGTCATAGTTACGATATTGTGTGATCGTGTCTCTTTCTGTAAATGTGTTTGATTCTGGGTCCTTCACTTCTACCCCCAATTCTCATTACTTTAGTGGGCTGGATCCAGAAGTATGCTCCAGATGGGATCCAGGATACCCTCTCCCCCAGGAGATGTGTTTTGTCCTTTTTGACCATTGTCTTGTGTTCTGACATAGCAACCTCCATGGGTGTCACTTGCTCAGATCTAAATTTCTTTACCTCAGAGCTTTTGGACTTGGATGCTGGGTTTCTGTTCTCGCGACTAAAAGGCTTAGGGGTCACTCCAGATAAACTGGGCTAACTGGGCTGCAAGAAATAACCATACAAGAGACACAAATACCTTTTTGTTTGGAGTCACTGTGACGGCTCCCCTGACTTTAAGGGTCCGCAGAAAGAGAGAGAGAGCTAGAGCATAGGCTGACCTCTTTTATTGAGGAGAAACTATTCAAATGAGGCAAGGGGTCAGGTTTCAGGGGGCTGAGTCTATCTTCATGATGTCCACTGTCAGCAGGTTGACTGACACCTGGGTAGGCCACACCCAAGGTCCCAGTAAGAAAAGGGGACACACACAAGGCACTTCCAGAAGATTCTACCCTGAACAGGGCAAGGGGTTATATTACAAAGAACAGGTGAGCATAGCTTCACCCATGGGGCTGTAGCAAGACACACCCATGCACGAGACACCGACCCTCGAACCCAAGAAGGGTGGGGAAAACTCTGCCATATTTCTGTGACTGAGCGCCTCAGCACCCAGCCAGGGAGTGTGACTCAGTCACATGCAAGGTTGGTCTCCCACACTTGCCTCCATTGTCATTTGTGGCAAAGCATGGATCATCTCAGGATTTCCTCCCTGACCCTGGATTTTTACCAGAAAGCCTTGAGTTCTAGAACCTAACCGCCTTTTAAGCAATTATGCTAAATTCCTTTTTCCTGAAACATGATGTGTGTTTTATATCTGAAAATTTCTTTCTTAATTTTAGAAGTAGTTTCTTTTTATTTTAAATTTATGTCATATAATAATTTGATAAATATCAAAGAATGTACATCATGTTTATATAAACTGTGAGGTATAATTTTTTTAACAAAATTTCAGAAACTCATCACCCAACATTATCAGTATCATTACGAAAAAAAATTGGATACATATTAAATTCTGTGTACATTTCCTCAACCTATAACTTTTCACCCACCCCAGAAATAACAGTTTCCTGAATTTGGTATTTGTTATTTCTAATATATGTTCCATTATTTTTCTAGAAGCAGATATGTCCATAAACAATGTTTGGTATTGTCTTACACATTTTCAAACTTAATTTAAATGGTTCATGCTTTCATAGTATTATTATGCTGTTTTCTTTTACCACTTATTGCTGTGTTTTCAGGATATAGTTACATGAATATATTTAGCTCTAGTGATGGATCTGTTGCATAGTTTTCCTCTTTGAACTATATGCCATTTATTTACCTATCTCTGGTGAACATTTAAGTTTTTCACAATTTTATACTATCTCTAGCAGTTTGTAGTGATGTGTGTATGTATATGCATTTGCACAAGCAAAGAGCTTTGAATAGAAGAGTTGGTTGCTCCAGGGGTTATGTCCAGGAATGGAATTGTTAAGCTTCAGAGGACTGCTCCTCCTCAGCTTCACCATAGTAGTTCATGCCTCCATAGTAGTTGTGCCACTTTCCGTGCTCACCAACTGTGAATGAGAATTTCCTTTTCTTTGTGGCCTTGGGAATTCTTGATACTGCTAGAATTTTTTCCTTTTACCATTATGGTATGAAATGAGATCTCACTGTTGGTTATTTCTTCTGTCAGTAGAAGGTTCTTTACTCATTCTTCTGTGGGATCATCTTTTTTTTTTTTTTAAACAGATTTATTTAGGAAATCAGATATACATTCAAAAGGGAATGCAGACTATCCCAAGAGAGAGATGTCTTTGTGGGGTGGGGGTGGGGAGTGAGAAATTAACATTTGAGGGAGAATGTGACTTTCTTAAGAGTAAGAAGTTTTGGGGAGAAAGCAAGGAATACACATTCAGGGAGAATGCAGACCATCTCCAGTAGAAGAGACAATCTCTGCAAAGGGAGAAACAGCCTGCAGCAGTATTTGATATAACCATTCTCCTGTATACTGATCTTGTATTACTTATATGTGTTGAAATACTCACCTGTGACTTGGCCTTTTATGTTTTCTATGATGTCTTTGTTGAGAAGAACTTTTAAATTATAATGTAGTCAGATTTATTAATCTTATGATTTGTGCTTCTTTGATGTCCTTGAAAATACCTTTCCAACTAAAATGTGTTCTTTATCTTTTTGAAAAATTGAGAATTTTGTTTTCTATATATATATATATATTTAATGTTAATGATGTTATTTAAAGAAAAAAATATATATATATGAATTGTAGATGGAAATGATACCTTTATTTTATTTATTTTTATGTGGTGCTGAGGATTGAACCCAGGGCTTCACACATGTGAGGTGAGCGCTCTATCACTGAGCCACAGCCTTACCCCATATTAAATTTTTGATTCACCTGGGACAGTCAGTCATCCCGTCCAAGTTCCACATCCATGTATTCAACCAACTGTGATTGAAAATACTTGAGGCGGGGGAAGGGGTTGCATTTGTACCAAACATGCACAGATTTTTTTCATGTTCTTGTACCCTAAACAATACAGTAGAATTACCATTTATATTATATGAGGAGTTATAAATAATCTGGAGATGATTTACAGTATAGGAGAGAGTGTGTGTAGGTTATATGCAAATACTTTGCTATTTTATTTAAGGTACTTGGTCATGTGCAGCTTTCTGTATCCTCAGGGAATCCTGGAAAGAATTCCTGATGAATGGTGAGTATATCTAGATTCATGTATAGATATCTACTTTTCTTAATTTCAAATGGACAGTCAGTTGTCCCAGAGCAACTTAGTGTTTCCCTCACTGATGTCTAATAATCTTCTGCCATATATTAAGATTCAGATAGATACAGATGTCTTTTCAACCTGTGTATTATTTATATTTTGTCTCTTCCCATGCCACTGACAATGATTTTGATTACTGTAGCATTTTCATAATACTTTAATCTAGCAGAACAAGTACTTCTGCCTTTTTCTTCATTTCAAAATTGTCTTGGCTACTCTGGGGCCTTTGATCTTCCTTAAAAATTTGAGATTTTGATTCAAGTAACATCGAGTTAATAGATTAATTGGGGAACATTGCAATTTTATGATTCTTAGTCTTATCTTTGAACAAGGCCCATAGAGACCTTAACAAAATCTTTTATTAGTCTTATTTCTAGGCATTTTGTTTTTGTTGCTACTGTAAATTAAATCTGTTTTGTTTTATAGTAGGATTTGGAGAATTATTCAGTTTTTAGATTGGTGTTGAAAGCACCCCTATTGAAATCTCTTTATTTTAGTAGTTTCTCAGATTCTTTGGAATTTTTTATGTAGATAATCAGCATGTACAAATAAGGTTAGTTAATCACTTTCATTCAGTTTATTTATTTATTTATTTATTTATTTTTAGCTGTGGATGGGCACAATATCTTTATTTATATTTTCATGTGGTGCTGAGAATCGAACTTTTACTGTGCCTCATACATGCTAGGCAAGTGCTCTACCACTGAGCCACAACCCAGCCCTTCATTCAGTTCTTATATATTCATTTTCTGGCTCTTGCATAGGATCTGCAGTACAATTAGGAACAGAAGAAGATGAAATGATTTTGCTTGTCCTGTGTCTGACTTTAATGTAAAGAATTTTAGTCTCACTTTTAAGAACAGTGTTTGCTTTAGGCTTTGATAGATAACCACTTTTCTATTTAAACCAGTTTCCTACTGGTCTGATTTGTCACCATGTGGTCTCATGAATGTTAAATTTTATTGAAGGTTTTTTAAAAAAAATTACTGTGATGATTACATTTTTCTTTAATATGGTTTTTTGTATTAGTAGATATTCTGATTTTTGTCAATGTTATTATTTTGGGATAAAGTTGGCTTGTATTTGCCAATGTCAAAATTTAGGATTATTGAAACTGTTTTATAAATGAGTTTTATCATTCTTTTTTTTCTGGACTTTGTTACTAATCTTTGTTACAAAATTAGGTAAGCCACTTCCTTTTTGGGATTGAATCCAGGGGTGCTTAACCACTAAGCCACATCCCCAGCCCGTTTTTATATTTTAGAGACAGGGTCTTGCTGAGTTGCTTAGGGCCTCGCTAAGTTGCTGAGTCTGGCTTTGAATTTGCGATCCTCCTGCCTTAACCTCCCAAGCTGCTGGGATTATGGGTATATGCCACTGCACCTAGCTAAACCACTGCTTTTTAAAGATTCTTTGATAAAAGTTTGTGATCATCTGTTTCCTGAAGAGTTGGTAAAACTCTTGTGAAATTGCCTGTGCCTGAGCTTTTGGGGTGGAGGATGGGAACACAGGCATTTGATTATTGGTTCAGTTTGTTTAACAATATTGGTCTGTACACATTTTAATATTTCTTTTGAGTCTGTTAGTAATTAATATAGAAAACCAGCCATTTATCCATGTTTTCAAATATCTTGACATAGAATTAATTTTCTCTTGTTAAAAAATCCTTTATTTAAGGTTATACTTTTTCTGTTTTTTCCTCCCTCTTACTTTCTCTTCTTCCCTTGCCCCTTTATCCTAGTCCAGTTTCTATAATTTGTTGTATTATAAATTTAATTTACTCTGGTCTTTTGTCTTTTAGAAAATGCACTCAATAATAGGGGGAGGAAAGAATGGGGAGATGTTAGTCAAAGCTTCAATTGGGAAGAATAAGTTGTTGAGATCTATTACATATATGATGATTATACTTAATAATAATGTATATTTGAAAATTGGTAAAAGTAAATTTAAAATGTCTCACCACAAAGAATGATAATAAGGTGATGGCTATGCTAATCAGCTTGATTTAATCACTCTACTTTTTACATGTGTCAAAGCATTATATTGTACCCAATAAAGATATAAGATTATTATTTGTCAATGAAAAAGAATATGGACTGTAATTTTATACCGACGCATAAATTTAATTGAATGTTACAGATATTTTTTGTTGTTGTTGTTAATACTGAGAATTGAATCTAGGGGGCTCTACCACTGAGCTACATTCCCAGCCCTTTTTATTTTTCATCTTGAAACAGCATCTTGTGATGCTAGCCTCAAACTTGTGATCCTCTTGCCTCAGCCTCCCAAGTTGCTGGGATTCCATTGCACCTGGCTAGATGTTGTAGATCTGAATGTATAGTGCTTTCATCATTGTCAAAGTCTCAATATTATGTGATTTTCATTGTTACTTGCTCTTCAATGTGATTTAGGATTACATCTTATTTTATCAAAGAAATAGTTTTTAATAACACTTTTGGAGCTGAGGAGGTAGCTCAGGACCCTTAGTAGACCCTTACAAGAAAAACAAACACCCTCCCCCTGCATTTATATTGTCAATTTTTAATTTAGCTGCCTACATTATGGTACATAATTTACTGACACTTCCTATCTGACCTGGCACATGTTCAGCTTTTGAAAATATTCAGTATACAATTGAAAAGATTTGACATTCTGTACTTATTTATTTTATATGTTTATTTTTGGTACCAGGAATTGAACTCAGGAGCACTCGACCACTGAGCCACATCCCCAGCCCTGTTTTGTATTTTATTTAGAGACAGGGTCTCACTTAGTTGCTTAGTGCCTCACCGTTGCTGAGGCTGGCTTTGACCTCATTATCCTCCTGTCTCAGCCTCTGTAGCCACTGTGATTACATGAGTGGGCCACTGCGCCTGGCTGACATTTTATATTTATTAAATGCAGGATTCTACATAAATATCAGATCAATTAATTTAATTATTAATTTATTAATTTCATTGAGCAGGTATTTTGCCTGAGTCCCCAGCTTTTGGTAGTATTTTTTTTTAAAGAGAGAGAGAGAGAGACAGAGAGAGAGAGAGACAGAGAGAGAGAATTTTTTAATATTTATTTTTCAGTTTTTGGTGGACACAACATCTTTATTTTATTTAATGTGGTGCTGAGGATCAAACCCAGTGCCCCGTGCATGCCAGGCGAGCGCGTTACCACTTGAGCCACATCCCCAGCCCTTGGTAGTATTTTTGATTATAGATTTGTCACTCTCTTTTTATATTTTGTTTTTTGTAGTATATATATTTTGAAGTGTTTCTAAGAATAAATGTTCATGATTATTCTATCCTCACAAATTTTTATATTGTGTTATTAGGTATTCATCTTTAGTGAGTACTTTTTTTCTAAGATTCTATTTTGTCTGGAGTTAATATTTCTCCATGAGTTTTTCTTTTGCTTAACACTTGCTTTTCCAGTTCTTTCTGTGCATTATCTTTAGTGACAAATAGGTGTGTTCTTCTGTTTTTCTTTTTGCCAATTATAATAATCTATACCTATTCATAGGTGGCATGTGTTGCAAATATGGATGTAATTGGACTTATTTCTTCTTCAGTATATTTTTTACTTGACATTTTCTTTATCTTATTTGTCCACATTCCTGACTTGTGATTTTACCTAACTTTTTTGTTTTCTTCTACCTTGAAGTCCTCTTCTGGTTTAGGATACATCAGTAGTAAGTCTATTATTTTACACACTACTCTTAATTCTCTTTTATTATGTAGTTATGATTAAAGTAGCAGAAAATCTAATTTGAGAGGTATATTTGTTGTCCCCCACCCCCTTTTATAACAAAATCTGGCATTAGACCTGTCATCAGGGAGCCGGAGTGCTTCTGTCTTTTGTATTGTCGCCCCTTAACTCATGATGGGTTTTTTTTTTTCCCCTCCTGCTTCATGGCTGTAGTGTGACTGTTACACTTCCAGATATCACATGCATGTCCTAAGCTGAAAGAAATTGGGAAAAGGCAAATGGGAAAAGAAAGGTATGCCCATTGGGAAGTCCCCTTTTGTGGGAAAAACAAAGACTTTACTGGGAGTGCTACCTAAGAGACTTCCATCCTGTTGGCCAGAACTGTGCCATGTGGCCTTCTGTAACTGGAAGCGGCTAGGGAGAAACCCAGAATGAGGTTTGGGGTCAGACCATCTAGTGTCTCTGATGCACATTTTGTTTCAAAATTTTCCAACAAACTCATAAGTTATTCAGTATTTCTCTCCTTTTTGTATATGACCCAGACTTAGCTCATTTTATTTAAACATTAAACAACTTGCCAAGTGTTTTCTTAACGCAAAGTGAAAAGGTTATTGATTCATACCAGATCCCTGATGTTTTCCCTTCCCTTTACTTATTCTCTGGCTCAAAAGTTTTAAACCTGATTTATCTGTCATTGTGATAGTTTGTAGATACTTTCTAAAAATTGAGCATTGTCACAGGGGTGCTTCAAAATTAGAATTTATTGTGTCATGTTTATTGGCACTTGTGGCATGTTTTTTTTTTTTTTGATGACAGAATTTAAAAATGTAATTGTCCTTTATACCCTGTTGTAATCAAGTCTGTTGTTCTTTATTCTCAAAATTCCGATTTTTACAATTTCCATATTAAAATTCATTTTGAAAATCATCCAATTTTTAAAAATTTCCTGTTTTAGACAAATTTGTCATTATATTCTACTCTGTCTATATTATGGCAATGACAATATTTTTGGCCTCTTTTTTTCTAAAGAGGAAGAAGAGTGCCATTGGACAGTATGTTCTCACTGAAGATGATTATGGCTAAAAATGAAATATGTATTTTAGATAGTAAGCCATCTTCACTCTATAATTTGTATCTCTATAATAATCATTATTATCTCTCTTTCTCTCGTTTTTTTCTTCTTCAGTATTTGACCTTTCTTGCACATGTTAGGCAACTGCTCTATCACT